CCCTGTCCCCTCGCCAGGAGGGTGGTACTGCTTCAACAGGGAGAACTGCGACACCCGCTACGACACCATGCGACGGCTGATGAGCTCCCGGGAGTGGCCCGCGACCCGCGTGGGTGAGTCGCTCCGAGGAGCAGCCCCGAGGGACCGGGGCCGGGCCGAGGCAGGTGCCTGGTCGCTGCCCCGCGATGCTCCCGCGGGCACGGGCAGACGTTTGGGTGCACAGGTATCGCAGGTACTGAGTGCTGCTCTCTTTGCTCTCTCTGCTTGTGCTGCAGCCGCCTGGATACCCAAACCTCCATCACTCAAACAGATCATTTAATTGCCTATATTGGAATTCACCTGCTAGGATTTGTTTTTTGGGGAAGTACTTAAGCGGGCATCGCAGGTCTTTTCTATACTGCAAGAAGCTTCTAGACAGGCTTCATCTGTGAATCAAATTCTCAATGTCACATCTGCCTAAGGGCAAATTTAGAAATGTTCCTTCCCCTTCCATTACCAATGTTTTTCATCATGAATGTTTGTTTTCTGTGTGGTCAGAGGTCTTGCATGAGGCTGCTACGGCTCCTCTGAAGTCACAGACTCATCTGTACATTTCTTGTTTCTTTGTGCCCATCTGCAGGAACTGGGATCCTCTCCTCGCAGCCAGAAGAAAATCCCCACTGGTGGAATGCAAACATGGTGTAAGGAGGGACAACGGAGGGAAGTAGCTTTATACTTAAACACCATCTCCTGCCTTTCAGGCTGCTAAAAATGCTGCAGAGATGGGTTAAAATTAATACTTGGGAGAGGAAATTGTGTGTTTCCTCATTTGATGTAGTTCAGCTCTCTAACAAATAGGGCTACGAGGTCCAGAGAAACTTAAGTTCAGTCTCCTTGGGGTTGTGGGGTGATCTAATGGAGAAAAACTGGGGATATCCTAGAGAGCCTTCTCAGATGGCTGCAGTGGCAAATCCGTCAGAAGTGGTGGGCTGATTGTGTGTTACACATCTGCCAATTTGAGAGGAATGTGGAGCAGCTCTCCTAGTTCAAAGAGAAATGAGAGAGACCAGTTTATATATGCATCTGTACAGAAGGGATGTTTATTTGCCTCCTGCAAGATGGAGACAAAAATGGGAAGATAATTCCTTCAAAAACCTCTGGTGGTTGCAGTTCAACGTTTATACTGCACTGACAAGAGTCTTCTCATTTTCCATGTGAAAAACTGAAGCATAGAGAGTTTCCCTGTGGCAAACCATCCACCGTGGGATAGCTGAGAGAAAAATCATGGCCCATCGTTCTGTCTCCTGAGCTCAGTGCTTCAATTAAATTGATAGAAGACATGTTATTTATTGATTTAACTCAGTAAAACTACTAGTGTTCAGGAGAAAATACAAGGCAGTTGTAAATGTCACTTGTTTTACAGGCAGGTAAGTTGTCAAACTGGACAGAAACTCTTCCCTTTTCCCCTTCCCAAAGTTTAATTTTCTTCCAGTTAGGTGACCCCATCCTCACCCCGCTGTGCATGTCAGAGGCACAGCAGGACTCACACAGCTCTCTCTTACAGATTCATCCCGTATTGCTCAAGTGATGTTTGGAGCGGTGCCTCTTCCAAGTCTGAGAAAAGTGAGTGTTGCTGATGGGCTGTTGCTGCCCCAGACATCACACATTAAAGGATGTGGCCAGACTTTTGTGAAACCACATGGATGAAGAACAGGCTTTTTCTTGCTGAAGGGCAGGAAAGAATATCAAGCTACTTCCAGATAAAACATCCTGATCTCTTTAGCTCAGGCTGTTTTGACATAGTTCAGAGCCACTGCTTGCAGAGATGTTACACTGATCCAGTATGCAAGGATTAGAAGAACAAAATTCCTTTTAGTTGAATATCCAGGTTCTAGCACACAGCAAATTAATTGGTGTAGCTGAGCGACCGTGGCCTGTTGCGTGTGACTTTGGCATGGCTTACCTGAGAGGAAGGACTGTGAATTTAGTGTCAGACTTTAATCAGGAGGATATTTGGCCTTAGACAGGAGCCATCATGTGTGAGGCTAAAGCCGTCTGCAGGTTTCTTGGGAATCAGAGAATAGTTCATCTCAATCCATGCATTGCCATCGGCTGTCGTTCTGGTGATGTCACAGGTACCCTTTCTCTTCATCCCAGCTCCTTGGAGCTGTTGCTCCAAGTATCCATGACTGCTGGTGGTACCAAGGAAGTGGTGTCTGTGTAGGTGTAACACTTTGTGAAGCATTGCTTGTCTGAATTGGCTTGATAAATGGGGAAAAAGGGGAAGCAGTAAGTTGGAACTGAGATTCCAGGTGGTAGAAAGGTGTGTGTGTTCCTCCTGTATGGAGATAGGGTCCCAGTACCTTCCTTCTTGTTTTCCTTCTCTAAGTTTACCCATTTCTAAGCACTATTGTAGGAAGGTACTTGTGTAATTGTGTATTCAGATCACTCTATTCACTTTCTTTCAGGGAAGCAAGTTTTGTATGGGGCAGGGAGAGTTTCTTAGGTGTACTTGGTACAGGTGGATAAAATGAACCTGGGTTAGGTTCGTAATCCCTTTGGAAAGTTCTTAAGCATTTTTGGAGAGGAAGTAAAAGTCTGAGCCTGGAAGGAAACAATTTTGTTGACACTGAGCTGTCTCTTCCAGATGAATATGCCTTCATGGGAGCACTGATCATTCAGGAGGTTATAAAGGAACTGGTGGGAAAAGGTCTGAGCACTGCAAAAGTGTTGCTGCTAGCGGGGAGCAGGTAGGTATCCACCAGATTCCCTTTGGTGAGAACAGGAGATTTCCACAGTAGAAAGCTGTTAGGAAAGGTAGCTTCTAGGACTACAGTAACGCTAATATAGCAAACCCTGTATCTCTTCTCAGTTTTCTCCTCTAAGGGGTACGACAGGGGAGGATACAATATTATTTCCGCAGCTTCCGGTCCAGATAGAACCAGAATAAAAACAGAAAACAGAGAAAATAGTAACAAGACAAAAGCTTGCAAGATAATAAGATAAAAGCTTTGCGTTCTCTGCATCAAGAATGCTGGTTCCTGTTGGCCCACATCATGAGACACACCCCTGCTGCAAATTGATTCAAGACACTAAATTCAAAACCAGACTTGCCTCACACAGGTGCACTAGATTGTCCCGTGTTGCACAAAGCTCTGGTACACTCAGCATATGTTACACAGGGGTATGATAGAGAAGCTGCAAAGGGTGAATTCATCTCACTTCAGATTCTTTCAGTCTACTGAGCAACCAAACCTCTTGCAAATGATACAGAGCATATATATCTGCCAGAAGAGAGCATAACAACAGGACTTGGTTTCCAAGGTAGCAGATGGTTACTCAGCACAGTTACTTTATTTGTGAGTCTTTTGCAAAGCAAGGAAATAATGTGACTACCAATTTCATGGTGAATGGTTGGGTAGCTCTGCTGTGGGTAAATGAAGGTGTTTATAGTATGTCACTGCTGGCCAGGTGTGTGACACCTGTGTGTGCCTCATGACTGCAGTGTTGACGTTGCTGTTGCAGTGCTGGAGGGACAGGAGTGCTCCTGAACGTGGACCGAGTGGCAGAGCAGCTGGAGGAGATGGGTTATCAAGGGATTCAGGTTCGAGGCTTGGCAGACTCTGGATGGTTCCTGGATAACAAACAGTATCGCAGAACTGACTGTATCGATACCATAACGTGTGCTCCAACAGAGGCCATCAGAAGAGGAATAAGGTACAGTCAGATACTCTAAAGTACCCTGCTGTAAGAGGCTAGATTGTGGAGAAGATGTCCTCCTTCTCTATCTTCCTTCATTTTGATACTTAAAGGTTTTTCAGTAACTTTATTGAAAAAGACAATAATGTAAAATCTAGACGTGTAAAAGAACACGAGCAGTTGCAGGTGCTCTAAAATGTGTCGATGGGACAATGTAGCCAAGAGAGAGCTGTGCTATCAGTTGGAACTCTAATCAGAACAGAAATAGACTGGGATATGGAGAGGCAGTTGTTAGGATTGCCCTGTGCCTCTCATTCTGTTATTGCTTTGTTTCCTAGATACTGGAATGGCATTGTTCCTGAACGCTGTAAGCTGCAGTTTAAAGAGGGAGAGGAATGGAATTGCTTTTTTGGGTATAAGATTTACCCCACTCTTCGATGTAAGTTTCAGAGAAGAGATATAAAATGAATTCTAAAGTTTCCTCTGTATCCGCAACTGTCTTGGAGCAATCTCTTTTTCAAATTTTTTGTCTTCCTAGGTCCAGTCTTTGTTGTCCAGTGGCTCTTTGATGAGGCCCAGCTTACTGTAGACAACGTACACCTCACTGGCCAGCCTGTTCAAGAAGGGCAGTGGCTCTACATCCAGAATCTGGGTAGAGAGCTGAGAAACACCTTGAAGGATGTGACGTAAGTGTTTTCTTGAGGAAAACCTGGCACATTTGTTTCTAAGGGACATTCTTGTCCAGTGTCCTGGCATTGTTTCTCAGATCTCTGCTGAAAAAGGAATATTGTAAGTTTGATAACTATTAGCTCATCCACATCAAGAATCTTGCCTTTTTCATTTCTGGGTAAAATTCCATCTTCTCCCTAGTCCAGAATGTTCTGTTCAGCAGGAGTTGCTTTGTCCTTCAAGACATAATCCACGTTTCCTTTCTTTCTTTAGTGCAAGCTTTGCTCCTGCCTGCTTGTCCCACGAGATCATCACACGCAAGTGAGTTCTTGTGCAGATCCTCTGAGAGGTGAACGGGGACGTGGCTGGGGAACGAGCCCATCCTGGCATCCTGACCCCTCTGATGAGACCTGTACGGTTTGTCTTTTCAGTCACTGGACTGACATCCAGGTGAAGGGGACGTCGTTACCCCGTGCCCTGCACTGCTGGGATCGGAGCCTGCATGAGAGCAACAAAAACGGGAAGGCCCCTCTGAAAGGCTGCCCAATTCACCTGATTGACAGCTGTCCATGGCCTCACTGCAACCCCTCGTGCCCCACAATCAGGGACCAGTTCACAGGGCAGGAGATGAATGTGATCCAGTTCCTCATGCATATGGGGTTTGATGTTCAGAAGATGGCACAGCAGCAGGGCCTGGAGCCCAGCAAACTCCTGGGGATGCTCAGCAGTGATAACTAGGGAGGGCTTGTCAGAGGGGCAGAGATTAGATCAGGAGGAGAGAGACTCTTGGCCCTTCTCCCACACTTTCTAATCTTCTTCCTTGCGCTCCTGCAGGCAGATGCACGCTCACATCCAGGCACGCTCACACCTGTGCACACCCACGTGCTCCCACGCTCTTGCACACTTTAGGGTGTGTCAAGAACAAAACAAAACAAAAAAGCAATTCCTTGCTTACGCTGTTTGGCTGGAACTCGTTCCCTCCAAACTCCAGCCAGTCACATCCTCTTCCTGTGTTACACAAGGCAATCGGATACAGGGAGTAGCAAAGCCATAAATAGCAGCGATGAGAACCTTTCCCAGATCTGGGACGTCTTCCCTTGCCATGAATTTTACATCATAGACTTGATACAAGTGGTGTAAAAAGCAAGCACTGGATTTCTTCTGTCCAACTAGAAGTGAAGGAATGATTACATGACTTCCTGGAGGTCAGCATCTCATGCTGAGTCACAGTGTACAGACCCAGGACACGTGCTAGGGATGGACACTCTTGTACTCAATTTATTCGTATTATTTTATAAAATGACTTTTTTATTACTTTTTTTTTAACTAAGCAAGAAATATAAATGATATTGTTTTGTAACATATTTTTTTTTACATAACGAAGAAACCTCTTGCTACTTTGGCAACGTGGACATATTTATTTTAATATGTAAAATGCTATTTATAAGGGCTGACCAGAGAACCATACCTATGTCTTTGTAAAGTTGTATATGCTGCTCATTTGGATGGGTTATCCTGATGGTCACTTCTGCCTGGGAGAGGGCTAAGGGTGGTGTTGACAAATTTTTATTAATTAGACTTCTGTGTTCCCCTTGCAGTGTTCCTTGTTATTGTTTCTCTGATGAAGAGGTTGTAACATGAGGTTTAAGTACAGAGACTTTCACCCGGCACCTGATGTTTGCAGACTTCCACAGCATTTTTGGCTTGACTGTGATTTCCCAGGTACTCCAGGGCACTCGATTGAATGGTGCAGGGAGATCTGGCTTTGCAGTAAAGGCCTGTCTTCCAGTGAGGGAAATGTTTGATCAGACTGTCAGAAGCATTTGGAACAGAAAAGACAGCACAAGACAAGCATCAACGTATTTCTCTTCTTGTAGTCATTTGGGAACACACCCACTTCAGCACAGAGAATCCCCTTTGATGGTAGGGGAGGAGAGCAAGTGAGGGATTGGGAATTCGTAGAAGAGACCGTTCCTGGGGTGGGACCTTCCCCCTGCAGCACAGGGTGTGGGGAGACTTGCATGAGGAGTATGGCTTACTCCCTGCTGCAGGAGGTCCTGGACCAACTGTGTGTGGTTATGCAATGTGTAGGCCACAAAGAATTCGGGCCTTTTTTTAGAAAAATTCCCTGCACTTTCAAGATGGGCCTTACGAGGTTAGAATGGTGGTGCTGTTTGTGAGATCCCTTGTCTTGGGTAAGTAAACCCCAAGAATGAACCAAACCACAGCCCTTTGGTTCCTTTTCAAGGGCTTCAGGAAAAGTTGGGCAGGAACACAGAGGGAATCAGCTGTCCTGCTGAGCGTGATGGGATTAGCACACACTGAAGATAAAAAAGTAGCTAAAGAGAAAATGAATGATACTGCCAGCAGAACTGAAAAGCGGGAAAACATCAGTGGAGTTTCCCTATGATCAGTTTGGTGATTGCTGATATCCTTTATGTTTTAATGACTTGAGTATAAAAGTGAAATTGTCCTGATTACGTTTTTCATCTGTTTTCTGCTGTGCAGAAGCCACTGACAAAAGGGCAAGGCTGGAAGAATTCAGTACCAAGTGTTTGTGCTCTAAGATCTTGCAACTAGATGAGGTTTTTTGTCTCAGAGGAGAAGTGGCTGTGGTCCATCTGATGCACTGCTCTGCTGGTGTGATTTTGGGAACCTTTGCCTTCTGCCAGCACTGCCTTCAGCACTGAGGGCTCTCCAGAGGGCACTACTTCTCATGGGAAAGCAGAAGCCAAGCAGCAGGACCAGCTCTGCCCCCCCAGCATCACCAATTGGTCACAGAGTGTAGGGCAAGGGGGGATGTGTCCTCAGGTGGACTGTGACATGGAGTGACCCTGTGCTCTCTGCTGGTCCCTGGGCAGGTAGTAAGTGATGACCAGGATATGCCACAATACAGTCAGTAACACACTGCCAATGAGGCCTGGAAAACTTCTAGAGGTGAAGAGAGAGGAAGGGCAAGACTTTTGGGGGAAAACCTCATCACCTGGAGCTCCTCAGCTCTCCTGCTGCATTTCCTGGTTGTTGTGATGTTAACTGTGCAACTTCCACCCCAAATGAATACAGGTTTTGTACTTTTAGCACCAGAGGTCTTAAGGAAAATGGGAGGGACTTGAATGAAAGAGACACTGAGGTTACAAGACAGTGTCAAAACTGAAGGTAGGCACATTTTATCCTAAGAGCCACAAAAACTGTACTGTTCTTATGTGAACTGTTCCATAAAGTTATCCTGCTTCCACACTGGGATTAACACTGCAGATGAGGAGTCAGCAATGCTGCCGTGGGGTAAGGGAGGAATTTTTCTACTCTGCTGTGGTTTTCATTTTTCCCATTCTAAAACTACATCAGAAATTTTCTTCCGGGCTTTTAGAGTTAGAATTAAGAGACTTCTGGGTAGAGACAAAGTTTCGGGCGTTGTGTGCCAGGCAGGCTCCCTGTGGAAGCTTTGATCCCACAGGACGGAGGGTTTGACACTATATATTGAAATCTGTATTCCAAAACAGAGCTAAGAATATCAAAGCAATTTTTTTTTTTTAACAAGTGTATTTGGTTGTGGCATTTGGAGATACAAGAATAACTGGTCTCCACATAAGTAAAACAGAGACAGGGATGAGTTTAAGGAAATGGTGAGGACTGGCATGCTAAACCTTCACAGCCACAAGCTCTCACTAAAGCTCAAAAGCACAGCAGGTAAATGTATTGCTGCTCCAGATCTACTGCAGCAAAGTGAGTCAGCTTTTATCCAGCCTCTGGCCTAAATCCTTTCTTTCATAGGGTTTGTGCTGCCTTTGGGCTTGTGCCCCTACTCTTGGGTCTGCAGGACTGAGCTGCTGTTCCTGCAGTGTGGCCGGATCACAGCCTTGTGCCACAGTCAGCCCCCTCCCTTCAGTGCGGGGGCTGCGGGGGGGGAACGGCAGCATTCCAGTGACCCCAGAGTTTCTAGAACAGCAGAAGGATAATCAAGAGCCTCTGGTGGAGCTCGCAGCTTCAGTGTTAAATAACACCGGCTCCCAACAGCTGAGGGGGGGCAGGACTCATTCCAGAACTATTAATAAAGCCCCTATTTATACTCCAGGTTCCTGCAAACGGTGCAGCAGAAAACTACAGCTGCGGAGCTAAAATGGAATAAATGTCAGCCTCCAGGGAAAGCACCATCCTGTGGGAAAGGAGACCACAAAAGGACAGCACAGGGGCAGGTTTCAGACCTGAGGAAGCAGATCCAGCGGACGGCAGCACCCTGAGCTCACAGCCAGTGGGCAGAGCCAGCCAGTCACCTCCCTGCAGCCGCAGGTCTGTGCAGAAAGCTGCCAGAGCCGCGGCATCAGAGGCAGCTCCCACTGATGCCGGCAGAGACCAGCAAGATTCAAGCTGCCACTCCACTGAGTTGGGACCAGGTGTGACTCAGAGCAAAAGAGCAAAAGCCTGAAAGGACATTTGGGGGGGCTTTTGCCTGCATTGTCTGGTGGACTGGAAAGATGATGGAGAGCACAGGAGGGCCGTATCTAAACACGGCTGCAGTGACCTCCCCTGTTGGAATAGCTCGATTGCTGCAGATGACCTTTGGATGCACCACGTTCAGCCTGGTCGCCCACCAAGGCGGGTTCAGCGCTGCCTACGGCACCTTCTGCATGTTCGTCTGGACCTTCTGCTTTGCGATCACTGTGTTCATCATCACCTGTGAGTTCACACACCTGCACAGCTGCCTGAGTCTTTCCTGGGGAAACTTCACTGCTGCTTTTGCCATGCTTGCCACGCTCATGTCCGTCACGGCCGCGGTGATCTACCCGCTCTACTTCGTCCAGGTGGGCTGTTACCCCATCGGCTGCGAGGTGAGAGACTTCCGCATCGCAGCCAGCGTCTTCGCGGGCCTCCTGTTTGTCGCGTACGCTGCCGAGGTGTTCTTGACCAGGGCAAAACCGGGACAAGTCACCAGCTACATGGCCACTATCTCCGGGCTCCTGAAAATCGTTCAGGCCTTTGTGGCCTGCATCATCTTTGGGGCGCTGGTGAACGACAGCCAGTATGGCAAACACGTGGCAACGCAATGGTGTGTGGCTGTCTACAGCTTTTGCTTTGTGGTGACAGTGGTGGTAGTGGCCTTCAGTGTCACAGGTAAGACTGCCTTGCTGTGGTTCCCCTTTGAGCGCTCTGTGGTCATCTACACCTTTGGGGCCGTGCTGCTCTATGTGAGCGCTGCAGTCATCTGGCCAGTGTTTTGCTTTGACAGCAAGTACGGCTCGCCACAACGCCCCAGCCTCTGTGCCAAGGGCAAGTGCCCCTGGGACAGCCAGCTGGTGATCGCCATCTTCACCTACGTTAACCTGCTGCTCTACGTCCTAGACCTGGCATATTCCCAGCGCATCCGCTTTGTCTCACACCTCTGAAATGGGTCAGAGCCGTCCCGGCACTGTGGAGCCGCTGTGGTTGCAGAGGGATGGGCCATGAAGTAGAGAGGCACCGGGCAAAACCATCAGCCAAACTTCGAGGTGAAGACCGACTGCATTAACAAATTAATGACCTGGAGTGGGTGGGCTGCAGCTGATACCAGGCACAGTACACCTCCCCCATGCTTCTGCCCAACCTGCCTGGTGCCAGCACGAAGGAATGACACAGCTCCATGTGCATCTGCAGACAGCAGGAATGCTTGCAGCCAGGGCTGCAGGCTACCAGATTACTGATCCAAATATTAGGAAAGACGCCAAGGATTTTGAAACTGCTACCAACACTTAACAGGAACAAACTGACTACCCAGGAACTCAGAAAGTTAAAAGCTGCATCAAGGAACACCAGTCCTGGAGATGAAAACCAATCCCTCAGAGTTTGGGTTAGTTTGGGCAGTGTGGTGAGACATGGAACGCCTGCAAGTGTGGGCAGTTCCAGCTGGGCCATTTCTGAGAAGAACATCATAGCTGTAATAGTATTTTGAAGGTTACCAGTCCTTTCCCTTCCTCTCCTTCGCTGTCTAGCACAGAAAAGGAGTAAAGTCAAGCACGTACCTTGGAGGAGGCTGGGTATTATTTAGCAAACGCTAAGTCACTACAGAAATGAAAATTTGCAAAGCTGGGTCTCTGCTGCTGAGAATCAAGGTGCAGAGCAGAGCCAACCTGCAAAGTGACTGTGTGTGACCTGCTGTCCTTGCTCGAGCAGCACAGAAGGTACCTCAGCACAAGCTCTGTATTGGTTTGTGGGTCGCTGTTTCTTTATACTGATGTCAAGATTTTTTTGTCTGGAAGCTTAAGGATAAATTCTGGGGAGATAGGAAAAGGAAGGCAGAGATTAATTGAACTCACAGTGCTGCACAAGAGACCAAAATGGGTGGGGAGGGGGCATGGACAGGACGGGACATGACAGAATTTGCACACGCTGGTAACAGACTGGGAGCACTGCCCCAGAGCAGCTCAGGTGCAGGATTCCTGAGCCCTCTGCATTACTGAGGAGCCACATGTCTTGGACCCATCCCTGATAAAATACCCACTTTTAAGTCCCACACTGCTCAGCTCAGATTTCAGGCTCAATAGGAATCTTCATTTGTTCCAGGGAGAAGCCAGAATGTCCGAGTGCTTGTGCAGCACATGCAGACTCAGTGCTTTGATTAAAATCTCCAGTAGCTGCCTGCGAGAAGCAAGATTTATTTTTTAACCAAATTAAAATAAAGCTGAATGGCAGATGTACACATACATCTCCTGAGATCTGTATGCTGTCACCCTGCTCTCCACACTTCCATTGCAGCAGATACAGCCCCTCTGCTTTGTGCCCAAAAGCAGAGCTCAGTTTATTTTGATGTATGAAGGCTGAACACAGAGTCAAAAAAGTACAGACACGGGACAGCTGAGACCTCTGAGAGGATTCTTTGCAGCAGAGTCACTCAGGAAAAAGGAAGGAAACTTACCTTTCATCAGTGCTTTGTGCAGGGTTTGAAAAGCAAAGAGAAAACTTGTTGGGACAGATTGTGTTGGATAATTCTGTACTGAGCAAGGACCAGCCCTTAGCAGCGGGGAGCATTAGCCAGGAAACGGGGCAAGAATTGGGATCCAGCAAAAAGGGAATGCATGGAAGAGCCTTCCAAGGGGGTTTTCTCTTCTGCAAGTCCCAATGAAGGGCAGGCAATCGGGAAGATGTGGTCCAACAAGAGGCTGCTAAGGCAAGACCCAAGACTTTCTGCTATAGATATAAATCAGGAGCTTTATTTCTTGCCACCCAAAAGACTTACGGGTTGTACAAGTACAAAATGCTGATTTGGGAAAGGAAATCCGCTTGTGTTGGAGGTGGCAGTTTACAAACAGCCACTGCACACTAAGGGACCTCAAGCATTTATGATGTATTCCTGTTTAAAACCATCAATGTGAACAAATTAAGCTGTGTCACACTTGAAAATTACTTGTTTTTTGTTATTACAGAGCACTAAAAACCAAACAGGTGCCTGTGAAGCACCATGGCTTCTGTTATAAAATTCAACCCTGCAAGTCCAGGCAGGTTGCTTGAGGAAAGCCCTGTCCTGCAGGCCCTGGTGTGGCTCTGGGAGGCTGGGAGGGCAGGGAGAGGGTCACCAGCCACAAGTGCCTGCAGGCTGGGGGTGCTTGGCCCCAGATGTGACATTGCCAGTCGCTCGGGCAATGGCAGCTGTCGGAAGCCTCCTCGGCTGGTAGCTGTGGTTCAGCCAGGCACTGCTGGCTTCTTGCTGGGAAGATTTTGCACCAAATAGGAGCAGGAGCAGCAACGTGATAAAATCTGGCAATGACATGGAGTTGATGTAACTTACACTGAGCCAGGGACAAAGAAAGGCCAGAGAGAAACAGGTACATGAGAAACAATGGGGGTAAAATTGAGTGCCTTCACAATGAGGAGAAAAGAAAATTTAACATGGAAATCATGATCCCACTGACTGGAGGAGTGAAAGACAAGTCATTGCCAAGAACAGCGTGTTCAGATTTAGCTTTCTCATCTGCCAGCCAAAGACTAAGCAAAAAATGTGAGCATGGTCAAAATGGCAAAAAAAGATTGTGTGGACAACAATCCTTTATTTTAGGAGAAAAAAATAATAAAAAAAATCAAAACCTCATGCTTTAGTGGTTAAAACACTCCCCAACCATTGGAAACTATGAGATTGCCCAATCCAGGGCAGAGAACATCCAGTATTTGCTCAGCAGGATTTACCAACCAGCTGTGTCATGATTCAGTTCATCAAAACCCCTTCATTTCCAGAGTGTATCTACCCCCTTAATTAATAGATGAGGATCAAGTAGATCACTGTGAACTGGGCTTCATGAGACATCAACCATTCCCAACCTTTTTGGTAAGCTGGTGCCAGGATGTGTGTGTGTTCATTCAGCATTATAGACTTGTGTTCGCAGCCAATCTCGACAGAGCCCAGAGGATTCCAGCCTGGACAGACTGATATAAAAATCTGAATCGTTAACACGTTTGGTTTGGTTTGGTTTGGTTTTTCCCTTCTCCTTCTGAAGCCTTTTGGTTCCCTATCGCCAAAAGACACTGTTTAGGAATATTCGCTCGCAGGAGAAACACTGAGATTTATTTCTGTCAATCAAGGAGCAAGAAAAAAGACACACACACTGAAAAGAAACCAGTACAGTAAGATGACATTCAGGAAAAAAAGTACTGCTCGGTGCCTGGGATTTATAGGGACACTTCACACCGTTCCGGTTCCTCCACAGCCCGGGGCCGCGGGGCTCGGAGCGAGGCCATCCCCGGTGCTGGGGCAGGCCCCGAGGCCAC